TGAAAATGTGACACATTTTAATTTTTAAAAAGATAACGACGATAATTATTATACGATTTTAAATTAAACCAATGTTTAAAAAGAAACAAATCTGTTTCATTCAATTAAATTACTATCACAACTTATTAATATAACACAAGTTTATAGCAGTAATGAAGTTGTTTGGCTCGCGAGCTATGTGGTAGTTGCTGGGGTGGAGTCCGCGAGCTATGTGGTAGTTGCTGGGGTGGAGTCCCTAAGTAGTTTGTTGCACTTGATATAAAACAGTTTTATTCACGAAACTATGTTAAAATAATGGTTAGTAAGAATGGGTATGAAAGCACTGGTTCGCTGTTCGAGTATGCACTGCGTTAACGACGCGCTCAATGCAGTCGCGTTATACTGCTAAGTTAGCAACCGTGGTCGATTGGAAAATATTGCATCGAACATGCTCCCGAGTGGCAGAGATGATGATAATTATGAAATAAATGGTTATATACATCACATTTATTATAAGTGCAATTCAAATTAAATATATAGTGATTTTATCCCACGCTACATACCTATTTAGATAGTTTTTTTTACAAACTGTATTGTTTTAGAACTCACCTCACGATGATATTATTATAATATATAATATACTTATAATTATTTATTTATTTATTTTATTTATTTAATACAATTACTTTGCCATTACAGATAACTTAACCTAATTCGACATAGTAACTTAAAATATGTTTCCTAAACTATTAACTATGAACTATATTTAACTATAAACTTAATAAAATTTTAACTGCAAACTATATTTCCTTACACACTATAGAATAAGTGGTCCTTGTGAACTCGCTCAGTGTACAGTTAAATATGTCTACGACATCAGCCACCGTGTTAAGAGTGCGCAAAGCACGAGTGAGCGGCGCGCGCTCCAGCAGGTTGGTGCGCGCCCGCGGCACCACCAGCAGCCGCGGCCGGCGCCGCCGCGCCACATAGTCGTCCGGCATACAAAAACCTATCTCTGAAAGTATACCAGAGTTTTGTATGTTACCTCTTAAAACCTTCAGAAGATAAGTTGCCGATGCCACTTCACGCCTGACTTCCAATTTGTAGTACCCCACCATACCGAGACAGAATAAGGTGGGATACAGTAACGGGTATCCCGGATATATCCCATATATTTTTAAATACATAAATCTGATGTATTTATTTTGTATCCGCTCGAGCATTGTTTTATATTTTATTTCGCTCGGACTCCAGATGGTCGCACTGTATTCCAGATGACTCCTCACAAGAGCCTCGTACAAAGCCCTTAATGCGCTGATATTCGTGAAATCATTTGCCTGACGCAGCACAAATCCCAGATTCCTGTACGCCTTCTTACAAACATATACCACATGTTTACGAAACCTTAAGTCGCTGGAGAAATGGATACCTAAATCCTTTACCTCCGTGACACGCTGCAGCAGCTCCCCGTTCATGCTGTACTGATGGTGTTGTTGGTTTAGTGTGCGGGCAAATGAAAGCACCGAGCACTTTGAAATATTGAAATATAGTTTATTGCAGTGACTCCATTCAGTGACTTTGTCCAAGTCGTGCTGCAGCATGTCACGATCAGCTGTGTCTTTAACTACTGCTGACAACTTAAGGTCATCAGCAAATAGAAGACACCTTGATCTGACCACCGTTGGTAAATCATTTACCATGATAATAAATAATAAGGGTCCTAAATTACTACCCTGACTGACGCCCGATCTGGTGTAGTAGGGCTCCGAGAAGTGTCCGCCACAGTCCACATACTGACGTCTATCCCGAAGATAACTGGCGAAGAACTTTACAGTATGGTATGTGCAACCCATACCAGCCAGCTTCGACAAGAGTATGTCGTGGTCGACTGTGTCGAACGCCTTCTTGAAGTCAAGGTAAGCTACGTCAACCTGAAGCCCAGCGTCAACAGCTGGTACCAACAGCGTCATCAGGTGTAACAAGTTTCCCGTTGTACTGCATCCAGGACGGAAGCCGTGCTGAGCGTCAGACAAATGAGCCCCAACCTGCGCATAAAGGCTATTGTGAACAGCCATCTCAAATACTTTGGCTGGTGCACACAGCACCGCAATTGGTCTGAAATCACTAACATCCGTGCCACCTCGCCCTTTTGGTATAGGTACCACCCGAGTCAGTTTCCAGCGAGTCGGAAAGTGTGCTGTCGATAAGCAAATATTAAATATGTGTTGTAAAGGTCCAGTTAATACTATGCGGCAATCCCTCAAGATGAAGGGTGGAATCCCATCAGGGCCCACCGAGCGCTTAGGCGGCAGACAAGTGAGCGCGCGCCGAACGGCCGCTCGCTCGAGACAGGCAAGGTGTGCGTACGCGCTGCTCGGCGCCGCCCCCCCGCACGCCGCCTCCGCGCTCAGAGTGCCCGCCGCCTCGCTATACACAGAATGGAAGAATCGTGCATACTCCTTAGCAGACTCATCAGCTGATAAAACTCGGCCTTCTTTAGGCCTTTCATTATTCTTAGCAATTGCAATAGTCGCTCGTCACTTGCAAACTGTGATTTCGTAGATTGGAATTGGTCTTTTTATATCCTTACTTGTATCTGAGTGCAGACAAAAATAAGAAGTGGGACGAGATAAGATTATTATTTTGATCTACTTTAGATTCCGTTCAATGTTATTATTGTTATGAAAATAATTGTTGCTGCTGCTGCTGGCGATACCACGCGCGCGCACCAACCTCGTACAGCGCGCGCCCCTGACACGGGCGCTGCGGACGCTCAATGTGATGTCGGAATACATTGACATATTTAATAGGGTAGTTTCCTAAATTTTATTTTAATATCCGTCTGGAAACTACCCTTTTGTACACTGAACGAATTCAGAAGAGCCTGTTACTGTACCTGTACCCATCTGTGACTTAGCTTAAGGAATATGTTTGTTACCATAATGATGAATGTTGTAGTACCTAATTGTAAAATAGAAACTTTGTAATTTAATTCTATAAATATTGGCATACGCTTATTGCATTAGGTATTAGTTCCTGTCATGATAGTAGTATGTACATATTTTATAAATAAAAAAAAATGAATGCATCAAGTGTTACAAAAAATTCCTAATCCATGAAAATAGTCTATCTATACATAATTATAATAAAATTGTACAAAAGTGCTGTCAGTACAATCAAAATTATAATAAAAAAAGGGTTGTTATATTAACGACGCCGAACTTAATGGTTATTGGCTATTTTTACTGAGGTTTTAATGGGTGGGTAACCTATTAATGATAGTTATTTTTTTCAAACACAAAGTAGTTACTGTATACCGTTGAGGAGTTCCCTTATCAATTACACTTCTTCATCATCAGACCCTTAATAACAGCCCCACTCTATCTAGGTGAAAAGTTCTCATGAATACAAATTAATCGAGCCCAAACACAAGGTAGGTAGTTACTATATACCGTTGAGGAGTTCCCTTAACAATTAGAGGTACACTCCTTCATCATTAGACCATTAATGACAGACTCACTCTATCTAGGTGTAAAGTCCTCATCAATACAAATCAATCAAGTTCAAACACAAGGTAGTTAATATAAACCGCTGAGGAGTTCTCTCAACTGTCTGTTGCTCCACCATCAGGTCGACTCTAGATCCTTATCAAATTGTAGTGTTTATAAATTATTTTTGAAGAACATAATAGACGCATTACTTGCCCCTACAATTTTCGAAAGTTCCCCTCGGTTTCCCTAGGATTCCATCATCAGATCCTGACCTTATGAAAATAGGACCATCTCGGGAGTATATCCTTTTAAACAAGATAAGTATTTTGGAAATCGGTTCACAAATTGAGGAGTAATGCGCAAAGAAACAAAAAAAAACAATTAGCCGAACATAGTTCCTCCTTCTGTTTTTGAAGTCGGTAAAAAGATTTTCTTGTTTTGTCTGTTTGTGTGTTCGTGCGTGATAATAATGGAATCTTAATATTAACTTCTTACATCGCCTAGTTCAAATCAATCAAAAGATGGTGAATTGTTGCGATTCAAATACTCTTCTGTGTGTGGTTGGGCCGGCTCGAAATTGAAAGCTAGTTCTGGCACGATTATTATTAGTATATTATTAAAATAACATAACATAATATCACGCCTTTCAGCTCCGAAGGGGTAGGCACAGGTGCACATTAAAGCACTTAATGCCACTGTACAATGCAACACCTACTTTTCACTATTTATTTTACTTTTATGAGTCCCATGTAATAGGGGGTGAGCCTATTGCCATATACCGGGCACAATTCCAGACTCCGTGTTACTACTAAGATTTTTTTTAAACCCGGTAATACATTGACCCGGGTATCGAACCCGAGACCACTTGCCCGGGAGTCGCAATAGCAATCACTCGGCCAACGAGGCAGTGTTTTTGTAGTATATTACTACTACTATGTTTAAGAAATGTAATAATAGAGTCTTCGCCTGATACGTGTAATAATTACTTTGTATCGGCAGGTGCCACAGTGACCCATAGTTTCCAATTTTTCGGTCCTCAGCAATCCATCCATAGCCATACCTTTTATCCATTATCTACAATAGTTCTACACTTTTTTATGTTATAACTTTCATGAGCCATATTAAATTAATTACTGAATGGCGACTGTCGTGCTGCTACTCACTCCGTAGCAGCGTGACAGTCGCCACATCGCGGGTGACGGAATGCTGCTCATGAATATTATGAGCCTCTAGCATGGCTTGATACCAGTCGAGTTCCTCGTCACATAATTACGTGAGTAAGCCGAAAAACATAATAATTATTTCTACTCTAACCGGGGACTGTCCTTGGGTGCATTTCCATAGTGCAGATAGGGATAGTCCCCGGTTTGTATGTCCATTACATTTAGATTCAAGTTGTTTATAGGGCCTCTGCGCAGTTGGCTTCGGCCCCTCGTACGCCTCACAAAAAAACCGGGATCCTATGGTCCCGCCAATGGCACGCAATGTATAAGGTTGACAATTTGGTTGAGAGTAATGAAACCAATGAGCTCCGAGAATACACTGAATATATTGAATATAGGATCCTTATTATATAACTTACGACTACTAAATCACAATGATATTTTTATTTTTTTATCGTCAATATCCCTTACTGCCCCGTCAAGCCTCCCCTCTCCTACTATCTCAAAACTTATTTAACATCAAAATAGATTTGATGTTAAAGATATTTTGCGCATTTTGTTTCATTTCTTCCGGTTGATCTGCGAAAGCAGGCTCAAGAACAACAGGCTCATTATTCAAAGCAGCATGGGTGTCTACAATGGGTTCTGTAACCGAGGTTGGGTCAGCAGCACCAGGGTCCACTTGTTCACCGGTAGGTAATGCAACAGTCAGAGTAACGACGAATGCAAAAATCAGCAAGTACTTCATTTTTCTGGAAATAAGAAAAAATATGTATATCTATCTATAATAATAAAAATAATATACATATGTATAATAAAACTGCAGAAGTGTAAATTCTGTACATTGAAAATTATAAAAAATAAAAATAGTGGGGGTATTAAAAACATAAATTGTATAACACTATTTTTTTGTCTGTCTGTCTGTATGTATGTTGACGCATCACACAAAAACTACTGGTCCGATTACAATGAAACTTCGTGTGATTAGACTTTAATGTCCTGGGTACAACACTGTGAACTTTTTATCCCGAAAAAGTATATACACGGAAAAAGAAACTTAATTGGGTACTTGCCAACTAGTCAAATTCAATACTTTTTTCCAACTGTCAAAAAACAACAGATTTCTATGAATTTTGTATGAGATTGTGTATTGTGACGTCACTTTTTTTTAGTGTCTAACAATGCTGTTTATTTCATATGTATATATATCATAAGTATAGGTGTAAGTCATAAGTATGCACTTATTTCTTAAAAAAATACTGGAAAAATACTAAACTTGAGTTGTTCATAAAATCAATTAATGAAAGTGTGATTATTTCATAATATTTTATTGTATTCAACAGTCGAAATAATTTATTTTTGGCTAAGTCAAGTACACTATTGTGCGACTCAATATGGGCTCAATCCTCAGACACAGTTGCTGTACCAAACGCAAATATAAGTTTGTCGAATGTTAAGTTACAGGCAGGCTAAAGGGATCGGGATGTAATTTGGAATAGGAATAGATTATGGTCTGGAGTAACACATGCTACTTTTTACCCCCTAAAACGTGGGTGAAGCTACTGGAAGAATATATACAATGGTTTTTATCCCAAGCTACATACCTATTTAGGTATTTTTTTACAAACTGTATTGTTTTAGAACTCACCTCACGATGTATTACTTATATTTATTCTTAGCAATTGCAATAGTCGCACGTCACTTGCAAACTGTGATTTCGTATATTGGAATTGGTCTTTTTATATCCTTACTTGTATCTGAGTGCAGACAAAAATAAGAAGTGGGACGAGATAAGATTATTATTTTGATCTACTTTAGACTCCGCTCAATGTTATTGTTGTTATGAAAAGCTTCAATGCATCAAGTGTTACAAAAACCTCCCTATCCATGAAAATAGTATATCTATTATATGTATAGATGTCGCGGAGAACCTAACGGGTAACCGGGGCTCCGGCTCGACGTGTAGGAGAAGGAACGGGGTGGTTCTTAGTCAGTAAGAGTCTGACAATCCCTCCCGCCTCACCCAGGCGGGAGCAGTCATTCGATGATTTCCCCCCTTAAAAAAAAATATGTATAGATATACATAATTATAATAAAACTATACAAAGCTGCTGTCAGTATAATCAAATGTATAATAAAAAAAAAACATAAAAGAGTTGTTATATTAACGATGCTAAACCCAAAAACATGATTTTTTTTATTTGTTTGTTTGTGTGTTCGTGCACGATCTTAGAATTCGTTTATTAAATTTAGATGCGGTTTTCAGTGATATTTTTTGCCAAAGTTCATTTTATATTAAATGTTTGGTGTCCGCCTAATGGCAGGATCAAATGGATATCCAGATAATTTTGACATTTATATTTATTATCCAAATTCTACTACTTGCTATCTTCGATGAATTAATTCCTACCTTAATATTTTTAAAGTTATAAGCAAAATTTTGCGATCTCGCCATTTTTAATATCAAAATGATCTAAAAATAATTCACCTTCGGTTCAAAAATATTTAACATTTTATTTCGAAAATTTTGGTATGTTTTTTTATGGCATAAGCCGGTAAACGAGCAGACGGATCACCTGATAGTAAGCAATCGGCGTCGCCTATGGACACCTGGAACATCAGAGGCGTTACAAGTGCGTTACCGGTCTTTTGGGGATTAAGAGTTTGAGGATCGTTGGGGATTCAGGGATTGGGGAGATTGGGGAAGGGGAGTAACCTCACTCACACGACGAAACACAACGCAAGCGTTGATTCGCGACGGTTTTTTATGAGGCCGTGGTATTGAGCCGGCCCATTCGTGCCGAAGCATGGCTCTCCCACACTTATTATGTTGTAGTTTGTATAAGACTTGCATTACTTTTGTGGCACAATATCCAAAAACACAAACATTGTTTTAGATCCCAACTCCTGACCTATATCGCAATGTAGGACCATCAGTGAACTAGGCATCTCAGAGCCCCTTATAGAATATTGCCCACTGCGGCCCCTCTCCTGAACGAACTATGAGAGTTCTACCCACCCACATTTGAATAATGCCGTGATGATTTCTAATGCAATCGGTTTTCGGATAACGTTCATGGGTATGATTCTAATAATAATTTTGTATCTGCTAGCATGGTGAGATGGAAAAGGTATTGAGTTTGGTTCTTAGATATAGCACTGACTCATAACATAACACATTGTGTGATGTTACTTTCCAAATGACGAATTTTCATGCACGAACATATGTATAATTGTCATCCCCTATTTTTAGTCCTTGGGGGTGGACTTTTGTTCTATCGTTTTAATATATTATTTAATTTATTAACTACAACATTTTGCTATAACTATAAAAATACTGATAAATGCTACCTTGAGTTGTAGTATTATTTAAGAGTAGAGTAGTATTATTTAATTATCTGAATATGGAATTCATTTGGTCCCACCATTTTGACGGACACTAAATCGGTACAGAATAGAAAATAATTTCGTTGTGGCTCTTTAGATTAACGTAACTTTTTTATTTGTAAACATATTGTCATGAAACAAACATTTAAAATAAAATGAACTTTGCCAAAAAATATGAAAGACAACCGCGTGTAAATCTAACCGCATCTAAATCATAAATTACCTCTCAACTCTGAACTACTATGTACTATGTATGTATAAAATGTTATTTATGCAATGTAATAACCACATTTAACCAGTTAAGTTATGGGAGTTAAGTTCCATAAAGAGAGCTGACTTATTGTCTACAGAGAAATGTAAAAACATTTAACTAATCTTTTTAACACTTGCACGGCCCAGTTGTTCGACTCGCTTATCATGCTCGTGGTCACCAAATCAAGCAGACCTTCAATATCGATATATTCAAACATACATAGTATAAAACAAAGTCGCAATACGCCGTCTGTCTGTCCCCATGTATGCTTAGATCTTTAAAACTACGCAACAGATTTTGATGCTGTTTTTTTAAATAGATAGAGTGATGTTTAAGGAAGGTTAATTTGTATAATAAAATATGCATATTGCACCCGAAGCCGCGGCCGGTCGCTAGTATTGTATAAATCTCTACATCTACAGAGAGATATATCGCATACCGTTCCAACTTGCGGTGTCATCTCCGCATTCCATAGAGTACTGTGGTCTAGCACCTGTGTAACTATGTAGAATACGTTCAACTATGCTGCGTCTGGACAGGGTAGGGGAAGCCACGTGGTTGAGGTTTGTGGGGGTCACCTCTCTGTTATTTAGGATGAAGATATAGAGCATTAGAGCAGGGTTGGTGATTGTGATGGTTGGGGATGATCTGAATTTGATCTGCTGATTTATTTATTTTCTTTTTGAATTTCGTGGTGGTTTTTAAGTTAGTCCGTTCCAAACAATAGGTGATCAATGTTGTTCTTTTTACTATTTTAGCTTCTTCTAACTGATTTAATGTCGTGCTGAATATGTTTTTTAAAGTTTATATGTAGATTACCTGCTTTTCTTTTTCTACTGTAATAGCAAATTTTACTACCCATTTATCCCAAACTTGGATTCCAAAAAATCTTTTAGATTTCTTGCCTCCCTGAAATTTATATTTTCTACTATCTTACTATAAAGACAGAACATTCCTTTATTATTATATCTTGACAAAACATATTTTTAAATACATTCCTCTGTAGACATTATTTATTAATCTTCAACCTTCAAATACCAACCAGAACATTTGAAGCGAAATGATTTAATTAAACAGAAATTACCTCGTATTTTCCTCTAACTGTGTAATACCAAAAGGGCCCTTATCCAAATTACAACCAGCAGGATTCAAAACTTAATAAAACACAATGAAGGATTTCATAAACGATCTTTGCATCTCTGTCTATGGCTCCATAAATGGGTAGGAGTGAAAGAGATAGTGGTGTGTAAGTGTGTGGCTATTTGTGTGGGGTCTATATGTGTCGGTGCAAAGCTTTCGTTATTATCTGCATCTGTGATTACAAAGGTTCTTGTTCCTGCCCATTGTAAAGTGGGGTTTGGTTCAAGTTATAAGTGAAGATAGTTTGTTGTATGAAATGGTTTGTACTCACAGAAAGTTCCCAAATATCTGTTTTTTAGTTGTTTACTACCAGTTGTTTCGACTGTGTGTTGTTCTCAGTTCTGTAATAAGTATAATTACTGAGTGCCGATGCATAGAAAGGGGTTTTGATTGATACATGTGTATGTAAATAAAAAAACTGATATAGGTAGTAAGAAACACTTACTAATTTCAAAATTATATTATTCTACCAAGCCATCATTCAGTTCATCATCATCATCATTACTTCGTGTTGATGTTTTAAGAAATGATTAAATATTAGCTTTTATTTTTTTCTATAAATTTTATTAGTGAAATAACCACTTACTTTATCCTGCTACATCTGATCGCTCGTCCTTATCCCATAATAAAACTCTAGGCACACTTTTACACGACTGAAAAAAAGATTTTTTTTTTCACAAATAATATCGTATAACCTTCTATCTCTTGGACCACACGATGGACGATACAGAATCTACCGAGCGTATGTTTAATCAGCACCCTGTGGATATTGCCTAAGCAATAAAACACGCTGTATAAGCCCTTACTACACATTCCAGGCTAAACACTAAAATTATAGACGAAATGGTTTCATGGCAAAGGTTAAAATGAATATAACTAGTGGTTGCAATTGACAAGTTTATTCCCGAGTAAAGTGTTATTGATGTTAGGAATTTTGAACTGCACGATATTTGGAAGTTAAATAGGGATGATGACAGGGTATGAAAATTAAAAATCTAATTAGTCCGTCAGTTAGTCAGTCAGTCAGTTAGGTAATGAAAAAATATGAGACACGTATTTTTTTCTTTTGATGTATAATAAAATGATACTTAGATATATCGAATCAAAGTTTAGGAGTGGGCGCTAAAACGTCATTTCTACGGATAAAATGTACATAGAAGTGACGTCACGCGACATTTCAAATCAATATATCGTCGAAAGTATTTCTTTCTGTAAATAAATAAAATTACGTGTGTAATGTTTTAAAATAATCTATCAGACGGATATTAAAATTAAAATTAGGTATCTACTCTATTAAAGACCTGTTTCCAATTACAAAAAAACACTTAACACAAACTGATAGGAAGTGGATTCGTGATTTTACTACATATTTTTTACCTTTATCTGCTCTTTCGTGGTATGTTTATTTATTCACTTTTTATGATATATAAACGATCAGACGAATCACCTGATGGTAAACAATCGGCGCCGCCCAACGAAACACAACGCTAGCGTTGCTTTAGGTCGGTTTTCTGTGAGGCCGTGGTATCACTCCGGTCGAGCCGGTCCATTCGTGCCGAAGCATGGCACACTTATTTTTAACTTCTTCACAAAAAAAAAACATTGCAGAGAATGGCATACTTAATTCGTCAAGGCATTCTCTGAAAGTCAATCAAAGGGAAGGGCAGAGAAATGAAGCGGTTGATGCGAATGGTCTAGTATACTTAATTATGTACGTAGTATGTTGTAATTATGTACATTACATGAAAAGAAACGATCTTATATATCTTCACCAATAAGACATTTTGAAAATCACAAATCTAACAACACGATAAAATTAACTGATACAATTTACCCCAAAACCATCCCACCAATACAATACAGACACAATAAGAGCCCAAAATAAAAACTTTATTAATGGGTAAGCCGACGGCGGCCGCAATGCGTCAAGCTCAAAGCGACTTGTCAATTATAACAACTAACCTTTATTTATTAAGGCAACACTAAGAGTTGGTAATTGGGAGACGCGGACTGAATGCTAAAGTGGCAACACTGGTATGAGTTACGTGAGCGAGAGGGTAACGGGTAAAAATGGCGGCTGGAAAGTTATAACTTGAATATTGTTTAAGTGGTAGCATGCTGTTGAGAAAGGGGTCTCGGGTTCGCTAGATATTTTTAGCCTATAGAACAATAGGTTGCGGTCACCGGTGACCGCTTGGTGTTTGACAGTTTAAAACATGGAAAGCTTCAAGTTATTAGACTCTTAGGGCTGATTTTTCAATGTTCAGTTAATTTGAACCGAGGAATAACTTTGAATATTTGAAAATTCTTCCAACTACTACTATCTATACCTTATAGTGACAAAATAGAGTAAATATTTTCTTATTTGACTCATAATTTTATGTTCCTTATAAGTTCTTTATTAAAATATCTTAGAAAAAGAGTGGGAGAGCTATGCTTCGGCACGAATGGGCCGGCTTAACCGAAGTGGCACCACGGCCTCACAGAAAGCCGACGTGAACTAACGCTTCGTTGTGTTTCGTCGAGTGAGGTTACCGGAGGCCTAATTACCCCCCAGTCTCCTCAATCCCTGAATACCCAATTCTCAAATTCATAACCTCGAAAAGACCGGTAACGCACTCGTAACGGCTCTGGTGTTCCAGATGTCCATGGGCGACGCCGATTGCTTACCATCAGGTGATCCGTCTGCTCGTTTACCGCCTTTACACAAAGAAAAGAAAAGTGTCTATTTCAGTGAAGATTTATGATGAAAACAGAAGTATTAAAGAGTGGGCACCAGATGTTTCTTCACGTTTAGTGCGGGACGAAGGGTTATTGTTGATACTACTCTAATAGATTGGGCGAACAGCTAGCTACAGACTAATATTCACTAATTTTAGTTGGTACCTATGACGTCTTTTACTATTTTTCCTGCACATTTTCATTACCAACGGGAAGTTATTTAAAAAAAAATTAAATAAAAAAAAAATGTAAATTTCGAGCCTGGAATTGTGCCCGGTATATGGCAATAGGCTTACCCCCTATTACATGGCTATTATAACATAAATAGTGAAAAGTGGGTGTTATATTGTACAGTGGCATGAAGTGCCGTAATGTGCTCCTCTGCCTTCGTGGATAAAAGGCGTGATGTTATGTGTATGAGTCCGCTATCTGTAGGTCTTTGGATCACTGACCTAATTTCATTACAATTACTAATCTTATATTTAAGCAGATTAATGATGACAGATGTGGATTAGTCCAAGGTGTATACTGCCATGTTTATTTTAATCTGTATTTAATGATTCAGTACAGAAACTATTACTAATATAAATATTATCTACGTTTAGGTATATACTCAAGGATGTTTGTACCAAAACTTATGTTTTGTATAAATATCTAGTTAATGTTCAGTTATTTAAATGAATGATGGATATTCTTATATTAGGAAGTAGCTGTTACCCGAGGCTTTGCTCGCGTAGAACTTGTGACATTAATAACATTGAAAAAAGTCTAAAGTAGATCAAAATAATAATCTTATCTCGTCCCACTTCTTATTTTTGTCTGCACTCAGATACAAGTAAGGATATAAAAAGACCGATTCCAATTTACGAAATCACAGTTTGCAAGTGACGAGCAACTATTGCAATTGCTAAGAATAATTATTATAAGTAATACATCGTGAGGTGAGTTCTAAAACAATACAGTTTGTAAAAAAACTATCTAAATAGGTATGTAGCTTGGAATGAAGTCGTGTGTATCGTTAGTTTGAATTGTTATAATAATAAATATTATCACTCCATAGTATAAAACAAAATCGCTATCCGCCGTTTTTCTGTCCCTATGTATGCTTAGATCTTTAAAACTACGCAACGGATTTTGATGCGATTTTTTTAATATCATTGTGATTCTTAACTCGTCGAGTACCGTCATTATAGACACAATTATAGAACAATAGGTTGCGGTCACCGGTGACCGCTTGGTGTTTGACAGTTTAAGGAAGGTTTATATGTATAATATATGAATATTGCGCCCGTGCAAGGCTAGGGCGGGTCGCTAGTCTTTGCCACTCGGGAGCATGTTCGATGCAATATTTTGCAATCAACCACGGTTGCTAACTTAGCAGTATAACGCGACTGCATTGAGCGCGTCGTTAACGCAGTGCATACTCGAACAGCGAACCGGTGCTTTCATACCCATTCTTACTAACCATTATTTTAGCATAGTTTGAATAAAACTGTTTTATATCAAGTGCAACAAACTACTTAGGGACTCCACCCCAGCAACTACCACATAGCTCGCGGACTCCACCCCAGCAACTACCACATAGCTCGCGACCCAAACAACTTCATTACTGCTATAAACTTATGTTATATTAATAAGTTGTGATAGTAATTTAATTGAATGAAACAGATTTGTTTCTTTTTAAATATTGGTTTAATTTGAAATCGTAACTGCTGTCTTTTTTTTTTAAATGTGTCACATTTTCAACTTCAAATATATAACAAATATATTTTTCTTTCTTCCAGAAAAATGAAGTACTTGATGATTTTTGCATCCGTCGTTACTGTAGCTGTTGCATTACCTACCGGTGAACTAGTGGACCCTGGTGCTGGCGAACCAGTCCCGGTTCCAGAACCCATTGTAGATGACCATGCTGTTTTGAACGATGAGCCTGCTAACATTGAGCCTGCTTCCGGAGATCAACAAGAAGATATTATTTCAGCAGCACTTGCTTTACCAAAAACATCGACAGGTCGTACTGCGTCTGGTGCACCTTTTGTACAAAACACGTTTCACATTAATTCTATTAGTACTGCCTTCAGCAACATGGCTTCCGTTAAGGTTTGGTAGGAGAAAGGGACGGTAAGGAACATTGATGATAAAATAATAAAACATAACATAACATAACATCACGCCTTTTTATCCCCGAAGGTGTAGGTAGAGGTGCAAATTTCGGCACTTAATGCCACTGTACAATGTAACACCCACTTTTAACTATTTATGTTATAAGTCCCATGTACTAGTGGGTGACCCTATTGCCATATACCGGGCACATTTCTAGACTCCGTGCTACTGCTGAGATTTAAAAAAAAACCCAGTAATAAGTTGCCCGACACGGGAATCGAACCTGAGACCCCTTGCCCGGTCGTACTCGGCCAACGAGGCAGTCAAGACATAAAATAATAAAAATTATAAATATAAAAATACTAGCGACCCGCCCTGGCTTCGCACGGGTGCAATATGCATGTATTATACATACAAACCTTCCTTAAGAATCACTCTATCTATTAAAAAAAACCGCATCAAAATCCGTTGCGTAGTTTTAAAGATCTAAGCATACATACGGACATACAGCGAAAGCGACTTTGTTTTAAACTATGTATTGATTTACCAATCAAAACTAATGACGACACTTGATATATGTTTTTATAATAACTATCGTGAGACACTAAATTTACTGAAAATCATGAGTTACTAACGTGAATATACTCAAGAGGAAGAGCTCCTCTGTGGCTTGAAACTAGTAGAGCTTTTCTCAGTTTATTCACGTGAGTAACCCGCGATCTTTAGTTTGCTCTTGATTTATTTTATTAATAAATATTAAAATAATAATATGTTTTATTTTAATTATCCGAGACCTCTAAAAAACTCCATCGTGCCCCGGGCTAGGGGCAGTGCAGTGTATCCAGTACTAGGTACATTATTTCGCGTTAGACATATATTGAGCAACTATGGTTTTTTTACTTAATTCTAGCAACGGCAGGAAGAGTTCACTGTCTATATAACTCACAAGCCGTATATTGAGTTGCTTTTCTTTAGACCCTTGGGTGGGATCGATAGATCGAGACGTCTTTGATCATTATTTGGCCTGGTTTATTTGTAATGCATATTCGTAGATTTATTACATGCATTTTTGTTGACACGAAGGACACACACACACATTGATACGATGGACATTTGTTGCGTGACAAGGCCCGTCAATCCACTTCATATATTACGGTGTTGCAAGTATACGCCCAAATAAAATACCACTGACATTTTGGTACTTGAATCATCTTTAAGTGAGATGTCCGCCTTGTTTTCAACGTCCTTGGATTAAGATAATGGATTTTGAGAAACGGATATCGTCTTGACAGGGTCAAGCAGAATGTTGTCTTAATTTAAAATAGCGATCCGCCGGTAATAAGTGTGGGAGAGCCATGCTTCGGCACGAATGGGCCGGCTCGACCGGAGTGATACCACGGCCTCACAGAAAAGCGACGCAAAGCAACGCTTGCGTTGTGTTTCGTCGTGTGAGTGAGGTTACCGGAGGCCCAATTATCCCCCCGCCCCTTCCCCAATCTCCCCAATTCCTAAATCCCCAACGAACCTGTAACTCCTAATCCCCAAAACGCCGATAACGCATTTGTGTTCCAGGTGTCCATGGTCGACGCCGATTGCTTACCATCAGGTGATCCGTCTGCTCGTTTACCGGCTTATGCCATAAAAAAAGCAATAGAAACCACTTACACGTTTGTGTAGGGCGCTAATACCATAAACTTGCGAAGTTTCAAATGTTTTGAATAGAATTAACTGTATTTTTTGTGAGCCATCTTTGGTCACTGTATGTATCTTAAAATATTTATTATTATTTTAAGTCAAACGCTGATTTACACTATATTCGATTCTATTAAACATATACTTACAATTTCTGATAGTAACATGAACACTGATTGAAGGTCTTTGTTTTCTTTTTTTTTTTTATTTCTTTCTTATTTCTTTTATTAATTAATTCTCCGAACTATTCCACAATATTGACAGATATGCAAAAGTACCTATGTAAATATGGGCTCGTTGCCATTGCAGCGGTAAGTCCCTTCTTCCCTTCGTCCGGTAAGTACCTACCGCCAGACGCAGGTCCTCACTGGACATGGGAGCTTCGGGAGGTACCTGTGTTTGAAAGGGCGGAAGGAAACGCCCGGGTGTCAACACTGCGAGGACCGCCCTGAGGACACGGTGGAACACAGGGTAGGGGCATGCCCTGCGTGGGCTGATTAGAGTCATTAGACCACCACGAATGGGGCCCAATAGGGCTGATGCCGATACGGAGCCGCGGAGTTCATGGTAATGAGTTCGCTATCTGTATTTGAGCACTAATAAGGTAGGAAATAGTGGTACAAACAATGAATATGACGTTGTGAGGCCCCTGAGATTAGCACATTCAAACAAACAAACAAATTATTCTGCCTTATATAATAGTATATAAGATATATTTCTCATTGAGGAAAAACGTTTCCCCTACCTATTTTTAACATACCTAATTTAATTTTAATTTAATCTTATATTTTAAGCAGATTAAAGACGACGGATTATTGGATTAGTCCAAGGTATGGACTGCCATTTTTGTTTCAATCTGTATTGAATGATTCACAAAGTAACGATTGATAATAATGATTAGGTACATTTATTTACACAAAGATATACATATTAGGAATTGAATAAACAATATTTAGAAATCTTATTTATTTTTAACAATACATCATAAGAATCAATAGAATCATATAAATTGGGTATAATATTAAAATAATAAAAATATAAGAATCTAATATCGTATAATCAATTAAATACCTATTGCAAGTTATTGTGTAGATGATAATTCAGGTGCACAGTTTCTCTAGAAAGTCTATAATACAATATCCGATTTAGTGTTCCTCGACGAACTGGGGCAGTTGCGGTGCGCCGATAGCAACAGGCTCAGGGACGACCACGGGAGTGGGGAGGACGGGGGATCCGATCTCAACGGGGGCGATCTCAACGACATTCACGGGTTCAGGAGCAACTTCGATGACCTGAACAGGCTCAGGGGCAGCCTCAATAACGTGTATCGGGCTGGGGACTACGACGGGCTCAACAGCGGGCACACTGACGGGAGCATCGATGACATGGGATACACCGTTGATGTTCAGGATGATCTGGACTAGAGGATTAGAGGGGGCAGCGGCGGCCTCCTCGACAACATGCACAGGCTCAACTGCGATGGGCTCCTCAATGATGGCAGGTCCGACGGCAACAGGTTCAGAGTCGATGATGGCGGGTCCAACAGAGATAGGGAGAGAGTCAATCACGGCGGGGCCGATGGCAATAGGCTCGAAGTCCAGTATAGCCGGGCCCACTGCTATGGGGACGAACTCGGGTGCTGGTGCGGGAGCGGGACCAGCTGGGCCAGGCTCAACCAGGCCACGGTGGGCAGGGCCGGCTACGGCCAAAGCGATGACAGAGGCGATAATGACCAAAGATTTCATTTTGCTGGAAGAGAAACAGAGTAGTAAAATGTTTTGTTAAGATATTTCTACATGAAGATAAGATTCAAAATAAGAAAAAAAAAATATAAACGGCAAACGAAACAATGTCTAGTCCAAAGTAATTAGCGTATTATTTAATAGTATTGCAATATATATTGTTGTCACTACACAGGTGGAGATCCGGCAAATACCAAGTGTACCATTCCTATTTACCTTATTAGCTGTTATTGTCACTGAACTTATTATTATAGCACAGTTATTATTATAAAATCAAATCAATAACATTCTTACCTGCTTTTGTTTGCTGACAAAAAACTATACTTATGTTTATTTCTTTAACCTTTTTATACAAAATATTATCTTTTGGCGGAGTTTAATTGATAATGGAAGATTATATTTTATTGTTGTTAATACTGTTATTAAGAATAAACATTAAGATGGATTACTGTATGTGATTGATCGGTGTGTCACGTGTTGCACTTGTTATATTGAGATAGTGCTAAACCCGTAGGTAATCAGTAACGAATCTATATGCTGTTCCATTTTTGTGACGGCAAATAAAGACGATGACTCTGCTTCATTTTCGTATTAATGCAAGGCACGGGGATCAAAGGAATGTTTTTTTACTTCTATAATTTATACTTTAAATGGAACAGAAATTAAATATTGTAACTTATTTAATGTTGAGTAAAATTTAAGTAATAAATTAGTATTAGTCGTACATTTTGTTGCTATGCGATCTATTTCTTATAATAATATTATACTCAAGTGTATTTTGGAAAATTACAAACCTTATATTCTATTATGGCTTTTCATAATGAGATTGAACTTGCCGTATAATGATTTATGTAACACCACAGCAATTTATGTAGCGTGCAGTGTTTCTGACCATAATAGCCGAAATTAGACGGAATATTCGATTCACGTAATATACACTTACGAACATTGTGCATTTGAAATATTATGTTGTTTAAAAATGGGAAAAGATACAAACAACATTCTGTATATAGATAACTTTGTTTTATAAATAGATTGAATGGATTTTTTTTTAAGGGTGGAAAATCATCGAATGACTGCTCCCGCCTGGGTGAGGCGGGAGGGAGTGTCAGACTCTTACTGACTGAAAACCACCCCGTTCCTTCTCCTGCACGTCGAGCCGGAGCCCCGGTTACCCGTTAGGTTCTCCGCGACAGATTGAATGGATATGAATCCTATTCGTTTTGGAACTACTGAATGCTGTGTTATTAGATAGTGTCAGGCACTTATTATTCAGTTTTGACTTGATATACCTACTTTTGACGGGACACTGGGGATGTTTTTAGTTAATAAGAGTCAGTCAGTCCCCAGGCTAGGTAGCTCCATGCGAATTTTTCACTTTGGCGTCAAAAAAGAGTATAATATTGCACTGGAAAAATGGATATGGCGCCAATATACTTCTTTAAGGGGGATAATCACCCTATGACTTCTCCCGTCATGAGTGAGACCAATGTTGGTGAGGCCTGGCGTGACATTATGTCATGTATTGTGTCATACTTATATTTAATAGTTTGACTGATACAATCAAAACAATAATTTACAATACTAAGCAGTACTACACTTACTACAGTAAGCAGTACTTGAGTGCCTTATTGGCCGAGTGGTCGCAAGTGCGACTGCCGGCCAAGGGGTTTTGGGTTCGATTCCCGGGTCGGGAGCAAAGTATTACTGGTTTTTTTTAAATTCTTGAGTGGTGTTTGCAATTGTGCCCGGTGTGGCAATAGATTCACCCCCTATTACATGGGACTCATAACATAAATAGTGAAAAGTGGGTAAAAACATTGTACAGTGGCATAATGTTCACCTCTGCCTACCCCTCCGGGGATAAAAGGCGTGATGTTGTGATAAGCAGTACTAAGCACTAATTATGACTTAGGAAGCATTAATAATGAATCATCCTTACTAATATTATAAATGGGAAAGTGAGTTTGTTTGTTTGTTTGTTCCACTTTCACGCCGTAACTACTAAACCGATTGCTTTGAAATTTTGCAGACGTAAAGTTAGAAGTCTGGATTAAATAATAGGGTACTTTTTATCCCGGAAAAAATGTATATTATCGAGGGAAAACGAAATTATTGGTATAGATGGCGCTGTGTATATGTCACATAGGCTACTTTTTATCCTTTTGTGACGCGAACGAAGCCGCGGGTAAAAGCTAGTTATTAATAAGTAACGTGCATCGATAACGCAGTCTCGGGTATTAAAATAAAACAAATTGTTATTTAATGTTATAATCTAATGCCATAAATGTATAATACGGACATCGCACCAGGTCCAGATAAAATAATTTGTTTTGATATAATAAAATTAATTAGATATTAACAATCGTTCTGGATTATGGATGTGGAAAGTTTTAATAGAATTATCAATCCTATTGATGGTTTTTTATCTCATCTGACATCATTATTATATTTCTTTTGTCAATTTTAAAAAATATCTAGAACCTCTAGGTACTACCTAGGGTATCACTCTAATTCGATTTTTTTAATGGGACAAGCCCGCCACAACCTTCCAAAACCGCTGCAACTCCTGTAAGCCAAGATCTACAGTAGATACAACCATGAAAATACCGGAACATTGAAGTCCGGCGCGTCCCAGGGACATGAGTAACTGTCTTGGTTCCCGCAACGCAGTGAATCAGAAGATATTATAAGAGGAGAAGAAGAAAAAACTATAGTTTCCACTTCCCTCGGTGAATTACTGCAGGTGACAGAATGAATTAAGCCTAAAGGCAGAAAGAAGAGACTGTCCAACTGGGTGAAGACCAGTCGCCAAGCACCACGGAAATTTGACTAAAAACTAAGTGGGTCCTATGTGTGAGCTGTTAAACTTGCTTCCAATAATAGGTATGGCAAAAACGCCTAAACGCACGGAAATTCGTTCTAGATTCCACAAGGTCCGTATAATAAGCTACATCTGACGAAACAATTAAATTATTTAACATAGTGTTACGTTCGTATTGCCAGAGATCATACTCCCAGAATATGTGATGGACCCTAATTCGATTACTTAACTTATGGGGCAGCGGTACATAAATATTATAAAAGGTTGGCTTTTTCGTCTGTTTATTCGCAATTAGTTCAAAAACTACTGAACAGATTTTCTGTAGACTTTCACGAATGTATGTACATTTATAGTGTTCCTGAGTAAGTTTTAATTATGGTTTTGACTTCATGGTCAAGTTATGGGCGATAATTTATTAATAATAGTAATTTCTAATTAGTTAAAATTATGCAGGGGCCTGTTACCCGGTTGGGTAAAAAAACATGAATACTAAATTTGTAGAATGGAGGCGTAATATAGTCTGTGCAAGCTGGTGCAAGCCTGTGCACGCTTCGCTCGTATGTCCATAGATCAGTGAATGCTTTAATTCATATAGATGCGACAATAGGTATATGCGTACCGTACGCAACACCATCTCTGTTTATTGTCTGGAACTAAAAATCAAGTAACAGTACATATTTACTTTTACTTGGCTACATTTTTCACGTGAGCAATTGAATCTAATAATGTGTTCTAGTAATTATAATTAATTTATTTTCTTAAATTTACTTTTGATTAGTCATTACATTTATAATTTATCCTTCAATAAAAAAAAACATAACATAACATAACATCACATCACGGCTTTTATCCTCGAAGGGGTAGGCAGAGGTGCACACAGAAGTAACACCTACTTTTCACCAATTATATTATGAGTCCCATGTAATAGGGGGTTAGCCTATTGCCATCTACCGGACACATTTCCAGACTCCGTGCTACTACTGAGATTTATTTTTTTAAACTCAGTAATACTTTGCCCGACCCGGGATTCGAACCCGAGACCGGCAGTCGCACTTGCGACCACTCGGCCAACGAGACAGACAAAAATAAAACATTAGAACAACAAATAAATTGGCTGGTATTGTGGATGTCCATGGCTAACGCTCATCGTTCACCATCAAGCAGTCCATCTAGGTACTCATTTGTCCCCTAACCCATAAAACACCCACAATTTTCACTAGTTTTCCTCTTCAATGTGTTGTGATGAAGTAATCGATATTATCTCACATGGATGACATGGCGTGGATGCAAGTCTACTGCGAAGACTTTTTCGGATCATTAATCTTATTGGTCGTTCGGACAAATTGTGTCGGTTCCTGACTATTCAGTGTTTATTTTATGGAACAGGATAAAACGTTCGTCGGGTGATTGCTAATGTGATGACTTGAGCATGCATGGGACTTCGAGTTTCTTTTCTGGGATTGTGTTATTATACTTTTTTATTTTGATACTACAGGTACAGTGGGTACGCAAATCAGTAAAATGTATTAATTGTATTTTAGATTTTATGTTTATACAATAAAGTTGAAGATGTAATAGAGAAAGACAGAAAAGGATAGGTTAACCTTCCGGCTATGCATCGTACAGAGCTTCAATTGAATGACTTCACCTGCTTGGGTGAGGTGGGAGGGAGTGTCAGACTCTTACTGACTAAAAACCACACAGTTCCTACTCCTGCACTTCGAGCCGGAGCCCCGCTAACCCGTTAAGTTTTCCGCGGCAATATACATACATTAATAATCAAAACATTATCAAAATTGTCTATCTTTGCATAAACAAAATCTAATAGATAAATAACACTTCTGTAGCCAGCTAATCTGTGGTACGTTGCGGCAAGTCGTAGCGTGGATTAAATCGCACGCAAGCGAATGCACCGATGAGCTAATTGCTCACACAGACACATTGACAAACGTTTTGATTTATTTTACGTAATAGATTTTACTACCTAAACCTAAGTAGGTTACCATTCAAGTTGCAGTTACGCAGACTGACTGTATAAAAGCTGAGCAACAGTCAGACCATGGATCGTGGATGGATGTTGAGACGAGTTCAGGAATTGGAGAATATTGGCTAGTTGGTATTTATCAAAGTCAAGATTTGACTTTATCAATTACATAGCATAACATCACGCCTTTTATCCCCGAGAGGTTTTGCAGAGGTGCACATTACGGCACTTAATGCCACTGTACAATATAACACCCACTTTTCACTACTAAGTTATGAGTCCCAAGTAATAGGGGTGAGCCAATTGCCGTATACCGGACACATCTTCAACCACCGTGCTACTACTGAGATTTAAAAAAGAAATATCAATTACTTAAACTAAAAGGCCTCACGAATCACATACGTCATCTTTTTAGACTTACTGTCTATTCGTGAAATATGATAGTCTAGGAATAGAAATAGAAATGGAAATTTATTCGCAGGAATATGTGATACAACGGATCTTAGTCTAATTTTCCACCTTTTCCCGGCTTGCAAATGTTTGTTTTTTGGTACATTGTATGATTGTCCAAA